GTTCATAATTTGCCTGGACATGCGCTTCTCGGATCGCGAGCTTACGGGGTTGGAGGCGGTCGGAGGAGGATTTGATCGTGCAGAGTGAAGGGGTCGAGGAGAGCCGGAGGAGGGTGGGGTATATGCTGCGTTGTCGAGGGTAGCAAGCGATTGCCTGTTTGATGTTCTTCTTGAGGCCTTCTTGTACTCCTTGTTGCGCAATTGCTTTGCCTGTGAGCCGATGCGGACGCGGTCACCGACTTTCTTGATGCCCATGTCTTTCAGATGGGTCTGGTCCATCTCCATCAAGTTCTCGCCGTTGATGTGGTTGTGCTTGAATAGGTCGACATACTGGGCGCAGTTGATACGCTTCAGCCAATCGCCAACCTTGTCCTCGTCCCAATGTCTGCACATGTCAGTGGTGTAAGTGAAAGCCAGTCGGCAAGGAGAGCTCACCTAATGGCGTCGGGGGCATCATATATTTCGGAGAACTCTGACTCGGTGGGAGAAGCAAACATTGACTGCTCGGCTCGGGTGTTTGATGCATGGTTGCGGTAGCCAGAGAGGCCGGCATTGTACTGGGCCGAAGATTGTGCAGCGCTGCCACTCATGGAGGGTGCGGGATACGGAGACTTTGCGGCAAGCATGGCCATGTCTTGTCCTAGGTGTGTTGGAGAGAGGTTGTGGGCGGTGAGCTGAGCAGGCGGTGCGGTGCGGTCGGGCGGGCGGGCGGGCGTGTCGGTCTGTCTACTCTTCTATCTCATATATGCATCATGAGAATGCTACGCGTGATAAGATGGTGGGCGCGGTGAAGGTGGGTATGGATGTGGTTGTGGACGTGGTACGGGAGCAGCTTGGATGGTGATACCAAGAGCGTATTAGGCCGGGGGTCGCAACAACGATATAAGACGCTACGAGTGACTGAAAGCGTGCTGGAGGAGCTCAGTGGGGTCACTCAGAAGGGCGGCGTCTGAGGAATGCTGAATGCGGGTGCAAGGCGTCGTGGGATGGGGTGAGGTGGGTTGCAGGCGGACGGCCTTGTCTTTGTGGAATGGGGGTTTCGGCCTTCTTTATTACGGCGTTCGCGTTGCCCCCCGGGAAGATGGGCACGGAACACGTCGATTAGATAGGGAAACAAGACACGGTCTCGAAACAGAGGATGATCCCGTCGTCTTTGCTGGAGCGAGCGCGAGCGCAGAGATACCTTTTGCCATGGCTCGCGGCCGCCGTGAGATCTGAAACGACTAGAGTCTGGGACCTGTGCCAGCTAAACCCAACCAGGCCGACCGACTGCGGCCCTCCACCCAATGATTGCGTCGTGGACACGGCTTTGTCTTTGTCAGCGCCCGTAGACAGCACACACATGTCGCGAGCGCCCAGGTAGCTTTTCGCGACCTCATCAAAGACGTCTATTGAGCATCATGCAAACGCGTCGTTGTTGATGCGCGGTGGAGTCGTGAAGCTCTGCGGGCGCTATTCAGGGTCAGCACCGTTTTGGCGACTAGCCCATAGCTGCCTCGCGGTTTAATATAATCTTGGCCGCTCAGGGACAGCCTCGTCAGCTTGAAATAGCTACACGGCCCTTTACTCACCCCAGTGCCTGTCGCCGCCTATCTATCTGGGGGATTCGCGATGTGATCGCGTTTCTGTTTGCTGAGTCTGCCTGGCGCGTTACAGCGTGCTGAGCCGGAGCACGCGTACACGTACGGGACAACAGCCAGTCTGGCGCCTACCGAGATGCTGTGTGTCTCACGTCGCCCGCCTCGCCGCCGCTCTGCACATCTGCTCGCATTCCGGTAACCGCCCCGATGCGCATAAGCCGGCCCTGACTGATAGAGCGTCCCCATGCCACCCGCACCCCTTTTGCCCGTGTTTCTCATAAGTTGAACGGGGATGAATGGGTTGACTGTCATGCTGTAACCCGGGCGCGCAGTGGCCAGCAGCTGGTGGTGCCGTGTGGTTGAAACAAAAGACATGCAAACGGCGGAACCACGCCGCGTCACTGACAGCCGTCGCTACCACCGTCCTGACATGCGCTAGGCATGACGACTGCGTAGACTACTGAACCAAACAAACATAATCACCCTCGTTCCGCGAATCTCGTGTCCCCAGGTCTGCTGCTCCTGATGATCCTGTCCATCCTGCCACTCGGTTGGAGTTGACTGTTAATAGACGTGATGACGTTCTTCCATTCCCAGGCCTGCGTATGACGCAGACAGCAGGTCGCCTACACCCCAGCCTGCGGCACGCCCATGGCGCCGCACGAAGAAGATGGCTCAGCACAGCCAGTCAAACTTCGCTGAAGATAACGTTGTCCTACCTGCTGCTTGTGAACTCTCCTCCTTCCTCCTCTGTCCAGGGTATCGCTGCCTTAGAAAACGAAAAGCCGGCAATCCACCGGGCTGAGCCGTGTTTGCGACCACAGCCTTTCTTCCAACATCTTCTTCCTTCCGTGCCCGCATCTCCATTTTCCCGTATTCTCCAGCAACCTGTCACTATCGCGCCTGCATGGGAATTCTGCAATAGCAGCAGCACTTATTCGCTGCGCTCCACAAACGCTCGCCTACTCGACAACTCCCACCTAGCAACGTCATACTGCAGGTGCTCCCGAGCGCCTGCCCTTGGGCTCCAGCATGGCCTACCGTGACCAGCCCGACCACCACAACGGCTCCTACGTCTCGCCTTTCGACAAACAATACTACGACCGTGGCAGAAGCCCTGACTATGGCACAAGACCCAAGTCTCGCACTGGCACCGATGGGTCTGACTATCAGCCTCGTGACACCAGTCCGGCCTGGGACCGCCATAGTGTCGACAGTGGCTCGCAACCAATGCAGCAGCCCTTGAAGAGTGCTATCGGACATGCCTTTGAAAAATCTGATGCCGCCAGAGTCGTCGACCCGGATCTCATTGCTCAAATCACTGAGCAAGTAAAGAAGTCGGTCTTGGATGAGATCAAATCAAGCGGCATGGCTGGTACGACACACGCTCAAGCTGTACCTGTCTCCCCACAACAATGGAGCCCGCCCTCGCCAATGTCAACATCAAACTCGATTCCACCCCGCGACGTGTATACCCCGCCTTCCCCGAAGCGCACCGACTTTCCAGGCCAACCATCTCCGGAGCGCGACCCCTTATATCGCGACCCGCTGCTGGATGGGAACAACAGTGATATTCCTACCCCACGTCCTGAGAGAAGCGCACCGGTAGAGCGGGAGCGGCCGTCTGTGCGACCAGGCCTTGCGCCCAGAATGATGACCGAAGATTATACTCCGATTGAAAAGATGTGGCAGCGACTGTTCGAGGCAGACGGTCAGCCTCTACCTCGTCTCGGCCAGCTCTTACGAGGTTTGGCTCTGCATCTGGTGCGTACTCAAGTTCAAACAGTAACAACGTGCTAACGATGGCATAGATCGAAGACTACGAACCAAAGCACAGTTTGGTCATCTCTCCTGCCAAGATGCTCAAGTTCTATGAAGAAGTCAAGCTCAAGGATGAGATTTACCCATGGTCCAGTAAGACAGGCTAGCGTCTATAGTCCCGTTCTTATGCTAACACATGTAGCAATTTTCGGAGAAGTCTCTTATTCGGCACTGTCAAAGATATACCGCGACATGCGATGCCAGCACCATCTCATTCAGGAGCATCCCGCCGAGGCACCTTACATCCCTGCACTTACTCCTGCAGGCTTTCAGGAGTGGATGACTACAATGATTCAGGCCTATCCTGATACCGAGTACGAGCGACTGGTGAAAGCAATCTTGGACATGCCCATCAGCAACGCAGATGACCGGAAGGAACGCTTCCCGAAAGAACTTCCCCGCAGGATGTTTCCAACCGTTGAGAACCTACATGCGCAGCAAAGGTGTGCCGCAGCCTTGTCCTCTGAGGGAGTTGGTCCGCTACGTAGGGCGCCCACCTTCCCGCCGCCGCCGCCCAAGACGGCTCCTCCATCAGGGCCTAAACTTGAGCGCGAACGCAGCCCATACTCCGGAAAGCCTGAAGTGAGGCCGTTTGACTTCGAAGAGGAGCCCATGTCTACATCAGTACCCATCGAACGAGAGCGCAAGCCATATTCAGCGGCTCCAGGTGGCGGAAAATCGTACACCGACGACATGAGCTCTAGTACCTACTCTGATGGTGCTGCGAACGAGAGGCGTCGACGCGCACAATCAAGCGCCGGCCAAGGACCATTTGCGCCGCCTCCTCCTGATGCTCACTATCACCAGCAGCCTCGTCACGGCTCGAATGCTCGACCCCGAAGCCCGAGCTTTTCCAGTTACGGTACCCAGTCCGATCCGACGGTGCGAGACATCCCCAATAACTACTACGCTTCTAACATGCACAACGTCGCGGATGACTCTCATCGTTATGGCAGAGACTCTGACACCAAGAGGCACACTCGTCAGCGGAGTGGTACTGGTGGTATGAACGGATCTTTCGACTCCCAAACCCGATCACTATACGACGATGATGATTATCTGAGATCAAGGTGGAACTAAAAAAAAATGGAAGAGTGGACCAGAGGTTTCGACTACCGTCGCTACTAGTCAGTCATGTCACTATATGACGGGCCTCAATCGCCCACCAAATTTATGACTTTACGACATATACCCCGGTTTTCCTGTCGCTGCAGCTGTCTCCTTACTGCTTTCGGTACCTGTGCTTAGTAGAACGGCGTGTCCTTTTTCATCCACACTGGTCTTTGTCACATACCCCGTTTTGCGTTGCTTTACTTTCCTATCTTGATTATCCTGTCGGAAATGACGGTCGCTGTACAATATTATCATGTTTGTTTGTCAAATAGTTGACAAGTTCGTTTTCTTCGTTGCGTCCGCACTGCAATTTCAGCAAATAAATGATCAAACACGAAACTGGTAGCCATTCTTCAACATGCTGCTTTTCCTTACATGGAACGCCCATTTCCAGGATGATACGCCTACGCATGTCAACGCAATCAACGCACCAACAAAGCTGTGATCTCAACCCATTTAACCCCGCCCAATGCGCTCCCTAGTCCCCTACTTCAATTTCCCGCCCTTCTCAACACTAGTACCACGCTTCTTCAGTCGACCAACGAATCTAGATACTCCCAAACCTATCTTCCTCAATTTCTCACGATGTGACTTTGCTAGCCTCGCTTCCTCTTCTTTGTCCAGATCAGACATGGATTTCAGTTGCTCTTGTGTCAGCATGTCCACAAAGTTCTGAGCTGGTTTTCTTGAAGACGAAGATGAGCTCTGTCGAGTGACTTGGGTGCCCAGTGCTTGAGGCTGGCTAGGGAAGTAAGATTTGTTCGAGTAGGAGTAGGAGGAAGGAAAGCGCGGGACGGGACTACGGTGGGGAGTGGCGCCGAAATGAATATGAGATTGGGATGGGGGTGCGAGCCTGGGTGAGGACGGAGAAGTGTGGAGTGGGGTGGTAGTGGCAGCGCTATTGTTGGATGACATCTTGGTGTTGTCTTTGCTCTGGTTCCTACTCAGCTGGAGTGCTCTACGAAGAAGAGAGAAAGAGCAAAAAAAACCGAGAAGCTTTTTCAGGCTTGGTGTGAGCTTTCAAAAGGCAATAGCACAGTGTACGGAGATAACATGCGTTTACAGTGTTTGCTTAGTCTCAACTCTGGTTTCGTGAAAGTGACACCCGTGGTTCGCGTTCTTTCATCGTACCCAAACGAATCCTTGTCTTTCTATTCGATGCTCTGCTTATCAACGTATTATCTCGTAGCTTATCAGCGAATCGTTCTCTACAGGGTCTAAGCACTTGAACTTTTGTCGGTTGTGCAACCAGCTTTCCTTCAAGCCCGTCACAAGATTAGCATTTCCTCTCCAGTAATCCTCTTTAGACCCATGTCCGTTCGTTCTCGATAACCAGACTACTCTGCGCCTACCCAACCGTCGCAGCAGTACCCCATGAGTCCATGCTATGAACCGAGTGAAGAGCAACACCAAACCTCGTCTTTCTTTCGTTGGCGCTCTCTCGCGCAACTTTGTGATCATCACTTGAACACAGTCCTCAATGACAATGAGAGAAGGCGAGACCCGGTAGATGCGCCAGCCACGCTCCTCAGCCTCGTCGATGTAGAATCCCGAATTCTTCGGGACTGTGATGGCGGCAGGGCCGGAAGCGCCACAGAGTGAACCATCGGCATAGCCGATAGTCGTTTTGTAGAGCATGACGGAGAGACGCTGTGAGCTGGAGAAGGAGACGATGCGATCACGCTCGAGCAAGGGCGGTGCAGTTCGTGGATTTGAAAAGGCTTTCTGTCGGAATGAGCGATGTTCTTGCATTCCGGAAGTGGGTTAATCTTGGAAACTTACGCCTCTGACCATGACATACTCACTGTTGAGAAGTCGTTCCAACATCGTCTGCTGTATATCTACAGAAGCCGCTGCGATTCTCGCCTTCATAAACACCAACTCAAGGATGGCAATAGACCGAAACACCACGTAGTCTCTGAGTACTATCCTATCGGATGAACCCTTCAAGACCACTGCGACATAGATCAACGTGAAGAAGTTCACGAACGGAGTATCGGACCAGATGAATCGACCAGCCCTTCTCAATGCCATGATCGGCATCACTAGGCTTCTCTCTCGGCAAGCCACCAATGTTGATGCGAAAAATGTCAAGCCGAATGTCGCTGCGATAAGAGTGTTGAGTACAGTGGCTGGTAGAAGTAGGTTCATCGCGATAGCACAGGCGAGCGAGACGATCAAGAGAATGAATCCAGTGTTGGTGAAGTACAGCTCTGCAAGCTCACCATCGTGATCTTTCGAAAAGACGGAAGTGTAGCCATCGAGCACGATAGATGTCTTGGTTCCAGCCTTGTCCCTATGACGGATTGAGAGATGGTAAAGTACTGCGAAGCCATTGCTGATCTCCTTGAGAAAGACAGTGATACAAGAATGCAGCAGCAGTGCACTCCCGAAGTTGATCTCCTGCTTCCAAGGAACAGCTGACATGCTGTGAGAAGGTGTTCGAAGGGAGCTGTGACGTTGTGACAGGAGGTGAAATCACTCACGAGGCTGAGGAGTGACAGTATGCCTAACCAGGCAGATAGCTGTTTGTATTGGCTGACATACGCCACTATTTCGCAAACGAAGACATTGTGGGTATTGACCGGATGTGTGGCTCAATTGGAGTATAGCCAGCCCCATGGCCTGCCTGAATCTAACCTTTCTGAGCCGTTGTCGCTAAAGACAGACGGAGCGTTACAATGACAAACTCATTGTGGTCACTACGATAACGACCAAGAGACCAGTACCAATTTGAGAGCCTGGAGTACTAGACCCATTCTTTTCATTCTTTTATCAAGGCGCTAGAACGGCGTTGCTTATCGAGGTCATATTTGGCTGGACTTACTGATGTGATCTGAACGACGGCATTTGGGCCTTGTTTCTTTAATGCAACCAAGATGCAGCGGTGAGTGGACTTGAGTAGGCTTTCTATAACCTTTCCACCACCTACTCAACTCATCCCTTATACTACGAGAATTATGGGCAAATGCTAAGGTGTTAGCCAAGTCATTTCCCCGTCGATGCCTGTAAATGTTGCGTCAGAGTTTGAGATTACGGTGGATAGACTGCTAACGTGGTGTAGTCTGCGGTCTGATAGAAGATGTGATGAAGCAGAGAGTGGGCAGAAGAGTGGAGGGTGAAAAGACAATTGCTGTTATGTAAGTATGCTTGACGAGAGATAAGTGGAAGGCGAAAAAGCTCATCAGTAAGAGGAATATGTGTATTAAGAATTAGTCGACCTTCATAGTTCTCGCCGTCACCCTACGAAACCGGAGTAATCGCGACATTGTCAACCTGGATCTCCTTCGCTGACCCAAATGCACCTGAATAGGTAAACTCGATCCTCAGGATAACGCTACTGGCAGTGGTACTGAAAATTCCACTACCGACAGCTGCAACAGGCGTGAAAGAAGTGGCCGTGATCACACCACCAGCTAGAGCAACATCGTTGACATAGGCCGTTGCAGAAACAGTACCGCTAGTTGTTACGCGGCGCGCCTGGAAACTCACTTGATAAGTAGTTCCAGGGCACAGAGTGATGGCCTGGACGAGGCGTTGCGGCAGATTGTTGTTTCCGGCGTTGACCCTTGATCGAACAACGGACGAGCTTGCTGAAACGCTTACTCGTACCACGTCTGCCTCGCCAGTAGTGAGGGTACTCCATGTGCCGGACAGAGAAGTCTCGAAATCGCCGTTGACAACGGCATTGGCACTTGGAGAACATGAACTAGCACCAGCACTGGGCGTGGCAGTCGCTGTGACGGTGACCGTCGAAGCGGGAGCCGTTTCAGTAGTCGTTGCTAGATCGCCAGGGAGGGTGACGGTCTCAGCCGGGAGAGTGACGGGAAGCGTGACAGTAGAATCTTCTCCGGGTAGTGTTACTGTCGTTGGAACTGTGACAGTAGTGATTTCTCCTGGACCAGGAATTGTGAGGGTGGATGTTGTCTCTTCGCCAGGGAGCGTGGTTGGTACTGTTACAGTCGCGGCAGGAAGTGTGACAGTCGCAGCATCTCCAGGAATTGTGACGGTTGTGATTTCTCCAGCACCTGGGATCGTGAGAGTTGAAGTTTTGTCTTCGCCCGCAATTGTCACAGATACTGTTGCTGTTGATGGTGCTCCAGGCATCGTAACGGTGATGACTTCTCCTTCTCCGGGAACGGTCAGTGTAGACGTCTTTTCATCCCCAGGTACAGTGACGGTGGTGACTTCCCCAGCACCAGGAACTGTGAGTGTTAAGGTTGACGGAGGAAGGGTCACCGTTTTCGTTTCTCCGGGGACGGTGACCGTGGTGACTTCTCCCTCTCCTGGGATCGTGATCGTTGTGGTAACCTTGTCACCAGGCAGCGTAACTGTAGTGATACCACCAGAAACCGTGATAGCAGATTGAGATGCGGTAACAGTAACCGCAGAGCAAGAAGAAGTACCAACTACGGCGGAAGATGATCGCGGAGGTACGACGACGGAGGTCAAGGTTGACCCAGTGGCAGAGGAGGACGAGGCACCGTTACATGAGCCAAAACCTTTCTGGCAAGTAGTGGCAGCGCAGTATGAGTTTGTACTTCCACAGTAGCTATTGCAGCCCATTAGATTGATTCGGTCGGTTCGGCACAGCCACTCTTACCTATACTGCGAGCAGCAATCACCGAAGCGCGAACCTGCGCAGGTTTGACCTCCATGTTGTGGACCACAGCGTCCATCCTGTGAAACCTTCGTTGCAGGAGCAGTCGCCGGCGTCTTACACTGTCCGTAATTTGCTTGACATCCAGTATTACAATGATCTGCTGTCGTGCCGCTTATGATTGTTAGCGCGGGGGAGGAATACATACGGTATACAGCAGCGAACTTACCACCACGACTGCGATGAGCAACAGGACCCAAAACTTGACCCAGCACAGGTGAGGCCAAAGCTTACGCCGCAACGGCCATTCGTCGATACCCGTTGAGCATCTCCGATGCTAGCAAGTAGAGATGTTACGATGAGCACCGGAAGGGACAACATGACTGCAACTGAAACGACAGACTTCTCAAGGAAGGACTAAGCAAATGTATGAAGTCGGACCAAGCTCACCGCACCGAAGCTGGTGATAGCCCTTCCTTATATCCATCATGAGGCTGTTGCATGGGTTGTGCAAATACTGGGGTAGACGAGAAGCTAAGGAAATTGACGGCTGTATGAAATGCTTTTGTACTATTTGGGCCTCCTTGCCCCACAACGGTCAGGTAAGGTCTCTCCAGGGGTCTGGATCTAGTAAGAAGCATCGGCTGGACCGAAACTACTGACACGATATACATCAGGGGATCGACCCGTAGACCTGTTGTTCGGAAGATATACTGCAAGGATTGCTGATGGTTGCGCCATGTCTTTTTCGTAAGTACCTACGTAGATAGCCTCGGCCAGGAGAACCACGAAGGATAAGAACATTGGAAAATTCCCTCTCGCAGTACCTATACGAGCTTTGTGAGCACAAAAACGAGACATTAGGGGGTGGTGTGGCTGTTGTTCAGCCTTGAAAAGCTAGTCACCATGGCGCCATCGTACCTAGCGTGAGTTCTAGACTGCTTAGCGCCTACCACCACAACAGCCACCATGTGTATTGGAGAGCGATGCGTCTAAATTGACTCGCAAGCGACGCATTCCTGACTAAATGGTTGGGCACTGGATTTCCTAGTCGAGCGATGTGGAAGAAACATTTTGACTTTGAATAACAGCATATAATCCATGCTCCATTGGAATAACCGAGATTCATAGTACAGCTTCCGCATCACAATCACCTTGCTTGGTCGATGCTAGTCTGCACACTGCTGATTTCTCTGTATTTGTCTGACTCTTTACGCTCGGATGTCTGGATACACAGGATGGCTACCTTTATCGCCAGCAAGGTAAGCTCAAAGGAACTCCGTGCGCGGTTCTGCAGCTCGGGCGGACAGCTCTTGAAAACTTTTGACACGATGCACAGTGTGACTGGAGATATTATTCAGTATCGAAGAGTCCGGGTTTGCAGCCTGGTTTTGAACTGGGGGTCGGGATCGGTGCGTCGAACAGGTCGCAAGCTAGGGAGGCTGATGATGATGGAGGGCTCTCAGGCGCACATTTAGACCGTTCGGCCAGCTGATATCAGTGTGTGGGTCAAAGAGAAAGCAACATTGACAGTGTTACCTATATGCTTCTGTTGCTCATGGTGTAGTTGGCTTCGCCCAGTCCGATTGATGACTTTGGTCTCGCCCGCAATTCTGGTAGGTTAGTGAGATCCCGCTCCGGAGGGCTACGTGTACTAGCTGTTTTTTTCACCTGCTTGAGCGATCCACTGTGAACGTCTCTGATCAGTGAAAATCTTGGAGGATGTAGAACTATCGGTGTACTTCAGGATTGTCGATCGCCATTTCTTGGTGCAAAGTTTAGCATCACCAGCTTGCCGTGCGAAAATGCTGTTTTGGCGGACTCGCAATGCTTCGCAGTAACGGTATCGCTAAGGCGCGCAAAAAGCAATAAAACAACCTTACATCGCAAAGAGATCAATAGTTAGCAGGTCGTATCTGCTGCTTGTTACTAGCGCTGGGGACAGAGGGTTCCTTTCAGTGCTGCTAATGCATAGAGTGCTGAGCTTGTCTTATGTTCGATTACAGATATCTTTAGTTAAAGCGAGATTCCTTCACTGATTAGCAAGAGTGTTATTCCGCAGTCTTTATTGTTGGCGGCAAAAGGCTTCTGAAGATCGCTCACTGTTTTGTAGCCAAGGAGCAAATTACCAATGTGGAGCGTCGGATTGCATGCAAATCTCTGAATGTGGTATCCTCGAGCCTCCGGACGAAAATGATGACTGTGTTAGGAGAGTCGAGGAAACTGATCATACGGGCCGAAACCGTCGTCCACGGCTGTTACCGCAACCAAGGCTAGGCAACGTAATCACACATATAGGCCCCTCAGATACTGTATGTGCCGAACGACGATCAATCGGGATACTTGAAAGAAGGTTGCGAAGTCCGTCTGAGTCGGAGAGTATATCTCCGCGCCATGCGCTTGCTCACGTCCGTATGAACGCGCCGTACATGATGGGGCCGGGTGTCCCCAGACACGCCTGATCACTTCTCTTTGGCCGTGTGAATGTCGTGTAGCCAACAACAGTTACCCTAGTAAGACCAACACAGTTGTATGAAGTGGAACTCAGCGACGTCATGGTTGGGACTAGACAGCCTTGGAGCGCCATCAGTGCTGGGATCAGGGTCATTAGGATTGGGAACTTGAAACGAGTCCGGGAAAGATGCACTGCGCCGTAAAGTTTGGATATTCTTCATATAGGTATGCCTCAGTAAGGCGCAGTGCGTACAGAGTAGTCTCAGGCGGACATCGTGAATCCCGACGCGATAGCCCCCGAAATAGCGCGGCAGATGGCTGAGCAAGCAGGTCGTGCCGCAAATAGCACGACCCCCCAGCGTCAATCCGACTC